TGAAGAATTCAAACTCAAATATTTGCTGAACTTCTTTAGAGCAAGTCAGACATCATTTATATTCTCTCAGGCAATTTGTTAAAATGTCACATCTGGTGGGAGATGCCAAGTAACTGGATCATTGATTTGACTTTTTTTCCCCAACAATATTTCAGCCACAAGTGACCCTGGTGTTGCAAATTAGACTCGGACCATTTGTCTTTTTTCCTTTTTTCAAACAAAATAGAAGTGAGGTGAAGAAAAGAGATTTGCATTTGCTCTTGAAGAATAAACAAAAACCTGGCAATAGTGATTGTCAACAGAAAGTGTGGCTGGCTTACTTATCAGAACATTGTTATTTGTATTTCTAGGATTCTTTTACCAGGTAATTACCGCAAATAAATTCATCTGAAGATAGCGTTATTGTCTCACCGAAATGGAATTTATCAAGCCTGCTTCACAGGACCATGGTGGGGATGGGATTAGATCCTGTGAAGACGAGGCAGCATTGTCCCTGGCATGGTGTCTCTTCTATTCTGCCCACACTTGAGTTCTTTAGCCCACCCATGTTCTGCTGTCACGTACACACTAGGGGAGAATGCTTGTTTGGGCTTTTGTGTTTCTCTTGGCACTGGAAAGCTGAAGTAGTGAGAATTTGGCAAAAGGAAGCACTTGGTTATCAAGAAAAGAATGGTTCCTCATACTTCACTCTCTTACCTACAGGATTCTCCCACCAAAACTAACGTCACCAACCCCTGTTACCCTCGGGGTTATGTGACCACCTTCACTGAGGGCCACGTGTTTGACAGCCTGTGCACACAGGACCTGAAGCCGACAAGTTACAGCCCCAACGAGATCATCACATTTAAAGGAACCGGGGACCCGTGGCTGTGTAGGGAAAAGGTGGCTTCCCTATTTGTATTTGAAAGCTGCCATGACAGAGATGCCTGTTCCTTTAATGGAGTCTACCAGCCAAAAGTTGAAGGGCCATTTGTGGTAAGAGCAAAAACTGTTGAAAATGTTCTATTTCTCTCCCCATCAAGTAGTCATTTCTTATTGTTTCTCTTCTGCTGGCCTGTCTCCCACTTTTCTGGTCCCCATCCACACCCATTTGAGCTCCCATTTCTCTTGGATCCCATCCGGAAGACTCATTTTCTTCTGTGTTGTCACTTGCTTCCAGGCTTTCGCAGGCTTCTACTACACCGCCAATGCTCTCAACCTCTCGGGGAGCTTCTCCTTACACACCTTCAACTCCAGCACCTGGAGCTTCTGCTTGCAGAATTGGAGCAAGGTCAGTAAAAGGAAAGGATCTGCGTCAGCGCTAATCAGTACTGCGGGGTGTATCCCGTACGTGTGTACGTGTGTTTTGAATTTGAGCTTTATGCTCTTCTGCCTTTTCACCTGAGTCTTTGGTTAACACACTCAGCTACTAACCGGAAGTTTGGGGTTTCAAGTCTGCCCAGAGGCACTTTGAAGGAAAACCCTAGTGACATGGTCCAGAAAATCAGTAACTGAGAACACAGTGGAGCACAGATCTACTCAGGCATCCACAGTGTCACCAGGGATCGGAGTCTATGGCACAGCAAGTGGCTTTCTTTTCTTTATTTAAATGTTGAAAATATTTTCTATTATTTTTTCCATTGTTGCACCTTTTCTTCCCTCCCCCAAGCCATCCCTCCCCACAGTGCACCCCTTGTTCCAGATTGTTGTTATGCATATAGTGCCGAGTCATATAGTCCTTTTGAGCATTTCTTCCCCTCATCTGATCTAAAGTGTTCATTATCCACTCTTTTCCCATTCTCTCCCCAACTGCCCCCAATGTCTGTCCTATAAGAGTGGTATTATGCAGTATTTGTCCTTTTGTGATGGAAATATTTCACTCAGCATAATGTCCTCCAGATTTCCCCATGTTGTGTCATGTTTTACAAGTTCACTGTTTTTCAGTGCTGTGTAATATTCCATTGTGTGAATGTACCATAGCTTTTCTATTCAGTTGCTGTTGTTGTTGTTTATGGGTACTTGGGTTGCTTCACTCTCTTTGCGTTTATGAATAACGTAGCACTAAACATGAGTGGGAATACATCTGTCTGAGTCATGGCTCTGGTTATTTTTAGGGTATATTTTCGGTCGTGAAATCGCTTGGTCAGATGGTATTTCTATTTCCAACTTTTTGAGAAAACACCAGACTGCCTTCCATAGTGGCTGTACCGTCTTACATTCTCAGCAGCAGTGAATATAGACTCCCAATCTCTCCACAACCTCGCCAACATTTGTTGTTTGCTGTGCTGCTGAACTTTGCTATTGTTGGTATTGTTAGTTGATATATCATATTTCTTTTCTTTATTATCTTTATATCTTTAAATCTATTTCTTTTCTTTTTACCTTTCCACTACATCTATAAAATTTGACTGCCCTGGTGGCTCAGAGGTTAAGTTCTCAACTACTAACTAAACCGTCAGTGGTCTGAACCAGTTAGCCACCCTTTGGGAGATAGATGTGGCCACCTGCTTCCATAAAGACTACAGCCTTGGAAACCCAGGGGAGCAGTCCTGCAAAAACTGCTTAGAATTGAACTTGAACTTGACAGTATCAGGGTTTTGTTTGTTTTTCACCTCATCTTCATGTTGTGAATTAATTTTTATGACCACATGCACGTAATTTTATGACCACATGACTGGCACATAATATGAACTCACAAGATTTTAGAAGGCGAGCTCTGGTGGCCTAGTGGCAAGAAGCTGCACTGCAATCTCAGAGGTGCGTGGTTCGAATCCACCAGATGTTCTGCTGGAGAAGGAAGAATAATCTCCTCCTGTGCCAGTCAGATCTGATTTGACGGTACACACAAGGAATAATGAAATAAAAATTAAAAAAAATTTTAGAAGTTGTTGTGTGTGCTGTCGAGTTGGAACTGACTCAGCACTGACCTTCTAGTGGGTTTTCAGAGGCAGTAAATTGCAGAGGAAGAAACTGACCATCTTTGCCTGCAGAGAAGCTGGTGGATTCAAACCATGTGCCTTTACTTTGGCAGCTAAGTTCCTTACCAATAGACCACTACAGCTCCCTTTTTCTAGAGATTATTATTATGTGATATTATAAGTATGTTTTAATTATCATCTAGTTATTATCCAGAGAGTTCTGGTGGCCTCGTCCATAAGGAGTCACTAATGCAAAGGAGGTTCTTCTCTGGTGGTTCAAATCCATGAGCTGCTTCTTGAGAGAAAGATAGGCAGTCGCCTCCCAGGCAGTTTTTAGCCTCTGAGAACTCACTGGAGGGCCAGCTATGAGTCTGTTCCAACTCAATGGCAATGATAGCTTCTTTTAAAAGATTGTGTTATTATAATTTTCTGTTATTACATCCTGAGTGATAAAGTGCTTTCAGCCGTCACCATTGACCTCCGACGTCTTGCATGTGACTGGACACACGCCTCCTGGCCCTGCCCTTCATCTGTTGTGACTCTTTTCAGCTCCCGCTGCTGCTGGCCAAGTTTGAGGAGGAGTATGCTCGCTCCTACTGCTTCTCCGCCCACTACATCTACCACCTGCTCATCGGCGGCTACCGGTTCACGGAGGAGACCTGGCCCCAAATCCATTTCAAGAAAGAAGTAAGTCAGAGCATGAATCGAGTTCCCCTCTTCCTGTCGAAATTACTGCTCTGGTGTGTATGTGTGCAGAAGAAAAGGGGAAGACAAAAGAGGGTCAGTCATTTTAAACTTCAGACTGGCCATTTGTGAGCCGCTCAGGAGAGCAGAGAATTTAGATGAGCAATTTGCAGGGAGCCTTCCCGGAGAGGAAGCGTTAGAACTAAGAGCCAATGAACAGGGAGCACCGTAGGGCAGGAATCTGTCTGAATTTCTTCATATCCCAGCACTGGAACTAGAATACAGTAGGTACTTAGTTAATATTTATTTGAATGATTAGGAAAATATATTGAGAAACTGAAATCATTTTCTTCTAAAGAGAAGCCTCAAATAGAACTTAATTTTTTAAAATTTTATTTTATTCTTTTTTTTGTACATGTACTGTCAAGTCAGATCTGACTGGTACAGGAGGAGATTGTCCCTCCTCCAGCAGAGCATCTGGTGGATTCGAACTGCACAGTTCTGGGATTGCAGTGCAGCTTCTTGCCACTAGGCCAGCCAAAGCTCCCCTAGAACTTAATTTTTGAAAACAGAATTTTCACTCATTGTGCATGTAGAAATTGCTGGTTTGGTATATGTTCTTCTGTGTAGATGTTGTTGTTGTTAAGTGCCGCCGAGTCGCAGGTCTGTGTAGATGCTCAACAAAAACCAAAATAAGCTATATATTCTTTAAACGAATAGTAACTAATTGCTTTTCCATTTTATATTTATGTCAGCATAAGATGCAGGCTTTATGGCATGAGGAATTTACATTATCATTAAGTAAGAATTTTCTTTATGAGTGAGCCTATGGGATGGTAAGTTTTAAAGAAGACTTTTGGAGTGAGGAAAATTTTCTTTGCAAATATCTACATCTGTATCTATCGCTGCCTGGTGGTCTAGTGGTTAGGATTCCATGCTTTAACCACCACAGCCCTGACTTCCTGTAGAAGATGAAGAATGAAACCTTTCAATATGGATTACAACATCCAGAAAATAAAGTCCTCCCCACAGGGTCACTAGACAACATCATGATAGATGGAGAAAGGATTGAAACTGTCAATGATTTAATCTTACTTGGATCAACAATCAACTCTCTTGGTGCCAGCAGTCAGGAGATCAGGAGAAGTATTGCACTGGGTAAGTCCACTGTCAGGGACCTCTCAAAAATACTGAAGAGCAACGATGTTGGTTTGAAGTCTAACATGCGTGTGATTCAAGCTATGGTCTTTCCAATCACTTGCTTTGCATTTGAGAGCTGGACGATGAAGAAGGATAACAGAAGAAGAATTGATGCCTTTGAGCTGTGAGGTTGGGGAAGAGTACTGAACATCCCTTGAACTGTCAAAACAACAAACGCATATGTCTCGGGAAAGTGCAGCCAGAGAACTCCTTGGAGGCCAAGATGGTAAAGCTTTGTCTCTCATACTTTGGGCACGTTGCTAGGAGAGACTATTCCTTGGAGAAGGACATCGTGCTTGGAAAGGTGGAGGGTCAGCCAAAGAGAGAAGACCTTCAATGAGATGGATTCTGTAGCCATGGATTCAAGTGATAAGAGATGATGAGGACGGCACAGGATAGGACAGGTTTCAGGTCTGTTGTTCAGAGTTGCTCTGAATGGTACTTGACTCAGTGTCACCTAACAGCCTGTCTATATATCTTATATCTATCTGTCTGTCTAGGTAATGTGTATCTAGACAGAGAGCATGATTGTTGTTGTTAGGTGCCATTGAGAGTTGGGTTGAGTCTGACTCACAGCAGTCCTAAGATATATGTATATACACACAATGGGTAAGGGGTCAAGTCTACAACAGTCGGATAGCTAGAACTGCTGCTGTGACCAGTAGGAGGGCAGGAGCCTCCCATTTTCGGGATGGACTCGCTTTCTGAATGCCTTCAGTCAGTGCTGATCTCAAGGTCCAGGGGAAGATACTCACTTTTCAGAACTCACTCATGGGAAGCCTGAAGGATGCCTGGAGTCCATCTGTTCAATCCCATCTGCAGTAATAATTAGATTAAACCAATCAATATCCTGCATTAGGCCTATGACTGTCTGCTTTTACTTAAATGAAATTAAGTCATGAAAACAAGGCTGCCTGGAGACATAGGAGTGCCGGTGGCATCTGCTCTCCGAGCCTTGCTGTTAATGAACCCAATTACCAGTAAAGTGGATGGGATAATGATGATGAATTGTTATCTACAGAGCGCAAATTAGGATTGATGGAAAATTCTAGGGTTCAAGATCCTAAAGAATTTCATGCTCTGCCAATTTGGAATTCAAATATGAGGACAAAAGAAGACTGAAGGGGATTTTCCACTTGGAGGCTTACAATGCAAATATGTCTAAGGAAGCAAGCAAATAAGAGAAATAAGCATGGGGATGTTGCAGTAGTATGTTGTTGTTGTTGTGTGTCATCGAGTCAGAACCAACGCACAGATGAAACTCCAGTGGATTTTCAGAGGCTGTGAATCACACAAGAGGAAATAGCTCATCTTTCTCCCTCAGAGCAGCTGGTGGATTTGAACAAGCTGTCTTTGGGTTGGTTGCGTAACTCTCTGCCCACTAGGCCAACAGAAGTCCCTTACAGAGGTGTGGGAAGAAAGAATAAATTATGTGGTCTAAAAAAACCTCCAAAATTAAAACCAAAGGGGGGGAGAAAAATCCATCCATAACAATTTAGAGTTGAATTATAGATAAAATCCAGCATGATGGAGTAGATGTGATGGAGAAAGATAAGAGATAAGGACCTAAGAATGGCCCAACAGTCTAATTTTATTAAGAGAAGATACTGATATAATTTTAAAGAAAGAACTAATAGGAGGGGGCATTGTATACCAATGAAATAATTTTTCTTTTACTTTTCAAAGAGAAAACCAAACTGAGGGGGGAGGGGTGGGCAGGGGGGAAAATGCAACAATGAATGAATGGAAATCCAAAATCTCTATAAACATTAAAATTAAGAAAATAAAGTTTAAAAAGAGAAAGAATAAATATATAAAAATGGCAATAATTGCATTTCAAAGGTAAGTTGGTAGAAAGAAATCCAAATATATCAATAATTTCAATGATCATAAATAAACTAAACCCATCAATTGAAAGAAAGACCTTGTCAGATTGGATTTTAAAAGATCAATTACATGCTGTTTATAAGAAAAACACTTAGCTTTCAACATAAGGAAATGGAAAAGTTGAAAATTTAAAAAAAAAATATATATATTTTAGGGGAGCTCTGGTGGCCTAGTGGTAAGAAGCTGCACTGCAATCCCAGAGGCGCACAGTTCAAATCCACCAGATGCTCTGCCGGGAAAGGAGGGACAATCTCCTCCTGTACCAGTCAGATCCTATTTGACGGTACACACACACAAAATAATAATAAAAAAATATATTTTAACCTGTCAGGCAAATATATCTAAAAGAAAACTGAGATAGTTGTTGTCGTTGTGTACTATAGAGTCGGAACCAACCTGTAGCTGACCCTCTGGTGGGTTTTCAGAGGCAGTTAATTGAACTGGAGGAGGTTGCCCATCATTCTCCCACAGAGCAGCTGGTGGCCTTGAACCATGAACTTTCAGGATTGCAGCGCGGTTTCTTGCCACTAGGCCACCAGAGCTCAGCCTGTCAAGCAAATATCTAAGAGAAAGCTGAAGTAGCTATATAATATTAGAGAAAGCAGCCTTTATAACAGAGAGTGTCATTTAAGATGTAGAGGTTTAGAAATTGTGATGAAAAAAAGAAAATTGTGACTCTGAAGCATTAGACAATTAGTAGAACAATCTTAAAACATGCGCCACAAATATTAATGGAACTACCAGAAGAAATTGACAAAGTCTGTTTTTTATTCGGACTGACCTCACATCCTTAGAGACCCAGCTATGTTAGTACACCACTCCGGACCTTATTTCTTTAGGCACAAAGCCTTCTGTGTCTTTGCAAAGGAAAACAAAGCCAAACACTGTCAGGGTTGCAGACTGTGCCTTCTTCACGCTAGGCTGTGACGAGGTGGTGAGGGTAGTTCTTTGGGCTGTTTGCTCTACAGTGCTGCAAGTGGGGCCCTCAGCCCTTGGTAAGTCACAGTTGACCTGGCTTCTCACCCAGCCTTCTGCTGTGTCTGAACTTGGACAAGAACTTTTGCCCTCCTTGGACCAGTATCCTCCATAAGCTTCAGGGTGACATGAGTGTGACTCTGGGGTGTGTAAGTCCAGACTCAAGCCCTGCCTTCCGGTCTGAGCTGTGTCCTCTTTCCCACAGGTGGGGAACAGCAGCATCGCGTGGTCACTTGGCTACATGCTCAACCTGACCAACCAGATCCCTGCCGAGAGTCCCCTGATCCGCCTGCCCGTGCAGCCGCCCGTCTTTGTGGGCATCCTCGCCTCCTTTGCCACGCTGGCCTTGCTGTGCCTGGCCTTCCTGGTGTATCTGTGTGCCGCATCCAGGCTACAGAAGTCCTCCCAGCATTCCTTCGACCACGCCGTGGATTCTGACTGAGCCTCTGGAAGATGCTCCTGGATCCCAGGCTCTTGCCCAAGAGCCAGGCTGGGTGGTGCCGGGCCAGGCGGGCCAAATGGACACGTGCAGGAAGCACAGCTGAAGTTGAGCAATCTAAGAGCACAGGCTCTCAGAGGCTGATGTAAATGCCAAAGCGCCTATTGGAGAGCCCCCAAGTGTGCACAGTGCTCCTCTGGAGACCCCACCACCCACTGGATCTGTTGGGGAGCGGAGGAGAGAGAAGCCGTCAAGGTCAGGCTCCTCAACCTGAGCTTCCCAGAAGTAGTGTAGGGAGGTGACAGTTGAATGAGGAAGAATCGATCTCAGGGCGCATTTCCCTCCCTTGATATCCCTGCAAGTTTGGAAGCTGGTGGATGCCGTGAAGACCATCTGACCAGTCATGTCTCACTTTACAATTTAATCCCACTGGCCATTCACTCACCCTTGCAGCAATCCCGTAAACACTGAGTGAGCCCCTGAGATGGTAAAACAGAATTCCTGCAGGAGAAAGACTCCTTTTCCCAAGGCAGTGACCACTGTTCAGCTTCTCTTGGGTAGAACCTGAAGCACACAGACACACAGAACGTCTCCCGGAAAACCACAGGCCATTCTCAAAGTGGAACCCCATTCAGAGCTCTCTGGACACTAGGTTCCCCGCGGTGTGGGTCATATGTCTCCCTGTTACATTACCAGCGCCTCCTGTGAAACGCTTTCACACCTAGAGAACTTGCTGCATTCTAGACCATGTTTCCTTTGCTCAACTTTTGCTGAGGATCGCTTTGTGTTGCTTGCACCGCATGCCAGTTTTGCCCATCAGTTACATAATCAATGCCCTCATAAGACATCCTTATTCTATCATCTGCTTACCAATTACTGCCTCAAATTTCACGGTTACTACTCTCTGCAAGCTGTGGGTCTTAACAAGGCAAAGGGGGGGGGGAAGCAGCTACAGAAACGTTTAAATCTAAAGTTTACACTTTAGATGAGATGACAAAAAACTTCAGCAACTCTGCTGATTACAAGCTAAAGAGTAAATGATTTCAGATTGCTGCGTATGACGTTCCCCTCCCTGGAATAAAGAACCCTTCTTTTTATCTGGTTCACAGTGTGTGTGTTTGTTAACTTGCATATGGCGCTCTTTCTCCTCCAGAACCAAGATATTATTTATGAGAGGAATTTTTGTGTGTGTGTGTTTTATTTTTAAATTTTTTTTATTAATTTTAATGAAAGTTCACAGAGACTTAGGGTTTCCAATCCTTCATTATTGCGCTTTTCTCCCTGCCCATTCCCAATTCACTCTTCTCTTTGAACAGTAAAAGAAAAAGTCTTTCATCGTTATGCAATCCCTCCCCCCAAGTCCACTCTAATGTGCAGCCTTCATTCTGGACTCCTGTCATGACAATAATACCCAATCACATATCCCTTTTAAACAGTTCTCTCCTTCATCTGTTTCAATGCAGTATACATCATTCCTCCCCTTCTCTGTCTTCCCTCAACCCTCATGGCAGGGATTTTAAAAATTAAGAAAATGCTTTTCCTTGTGAAATACAAAAACGACTCTGTCACTTTTATTCCAGAGTTTACCGTGCTTTCACTTTGATAAAACTTTGACTCCTAACATGTTAGTGACCTAACGTGACTTTATTTGGTATTGAGAGCCCTGTTAAGTTTGCAACCTGACACACAGATCTTGATCCCCAGTAACTGACTTTGTCAAGGGCTAGTTAAGATTTACATCAGTTGGAACGCTCAGACAATGCTGTTGGGAGAGTAAATCAATATAAGCCCCCTGGAAAAACAGTGTGCTAAGAAAACTAAAGATACACCAAATGACCTAACAAGTCCAGTTCAGACACGTGTTGTTTTCAGGTGCTGTTGAATCGACTGCGCCTCCTAGTGGTCTGTTGTGGCATTTTTGCACCATCCTCAGGTTTTCCACTAAGGACCAGCCCAGCCCATTGTTAAAGTCATCAATTGTCAATCCATCTCATTGAGGGTCTTCCTCATTTGCTGATCTACTTTTCGGAGCAGGACGCCTTAGAGACACTTGTCTTATATACACTAGCATGCCTAAGAAGGTTCCAAGCAACACCCAGGGTCTCGTCAATAGTAAATGGATGCATCAATAGTGATGTACTAGAAAATACCATGCAATAATGGAGATAAAAGAACTATAAACATAGGGCCCAAATAGAGGGCTTTTAAAATATGATATTGAGTGTAAAAACTAAGTCATAAATATACAGTATATTTATATACATTTTAAAACACGTAGAACTGAACACAGAAGGTACGGAAAACTGAAATGACAAATTGTCCAAAAACAAATGCAAAGGAGAGTTTATTCCAATTATATTTTAAAGAGGTAACAGCTTGGAGCTCTGGTGGCCTAGTGGCGAGAAGCTGCACTGCAATCTCAGAGGCACGCAGTTCAAATCCACCAGATGCTCTGCTGGAGAAGGGGGGGCAATCTTCTCCTGTACCAGTCAGATATGATTTGATGGTACACACACATAAAATAATAAATTTTTTTAAAAGGTAACAGCTTTAAAAGAAGGAATAAGAATAAAAATTTCTTTCCATTTTTTCTGCATATTTGATATGACTTTCCTGCTGTTTCCCCTCTTTGTCGTGTCAAACTGTATTAGGGGCTACCAGGCAAACCTCATTTAGAAATGAGCTTATTTAGAAATTACACTTTTTTCATTTATTTTTTAATGCTTTAAATCTTTGTCTTGTGAGTTACAGTTCATATACATAAAATAATCACAAGTAATAATAAATGTATGGTTTCTATTTAAACAGTTAAAAAATAGAAGATAAAAGTATTACCCTTGAATATGAAGAAAGAGGAGAGTTGCCTTGGGAAAATAATAGGTAAGACTTAAGGGATGACTAAGATCTTCTATAACCAAATACTAAGTGCAGCTGTTACCTTTTTTTTTACCATTTATGTGCTTTCTAAATATGCTGTTGTTGGGTGCTATAGAGTCAACTTTCCATCTGCAGTACAACAAAAGGTAAAATTACCTTTTTGGTAAGATTTGGGTTAACTCAAAGATTTTTTTCACTTATGACAACTAAGAGCTTCAGACAGTCTTTCAGCCTCATTAAGCCTTGATGTCCTCATCCATAAAATGGAGACAATGCAATAAATGCAATCAATGCCTTGCTATTGAAGCAGAAGCAACTCATGGCTGAACCTCTAGTGGGTTTTCAGGAGGCTGTAAATCATACAGGAAGTGACTGCCCAGATTCTTTCTCCCTTGAGCAGCTGGTGGATTCAAACCACCAGAGATGCACCACCTTTGGATTGGTTGCACAAACCCCCTATGGATTGCACCACCAGAGTGCCTTACCTCATGCGGTTGTTGCTGATGTTGTGTGCCATCGAGTCGGAACTGACCCATAGCTGACCCTGCAGTGGGTTTTCAGAGGTAGTAAATTACACAGGAGGAAATTGCTCATCCTCCCACGAAGCAGCTGGTGGATTCGAACCACCTACCTTTGGGATTGCAGCAGTTTCTTACCACTAGGCCACCAGTGCTCCCTATGCAGTTGTAGTTGTTGTTGTTGTTGTATGCATCATTGAATCAGAACCAACCCATAACTGACCCTCTGGTGGGGTTTTTGAGGCAGCAAACCGCATGAGAGATGGCGCATCTTTTTCCCAAGCTGTAGTTTTAAGAAGTAAATATTGTATTTAGTCAGTGCCTAGTGGAGTTAAGACGTTTAAATTTGAAAATCATGTTTCACTCATTTATTCATTGACCCATTTACCTTACGTCTTCTAAGTACCAACCACTGAACCAGTTGGCTGATATTCTAAAGGAAATAATGCAGATGGATTTCATCCTGGGACACCTGGGACATGAAGGCTCTCTGCTGGATCCCTGGAGAAATCCTGCTAGCGTGCAGATTGTCGCCCTCTGGTGGCGTAGAGTACAGGGAGTTGTACTGCCTAACCCAGAGCCTGTATATACCTTTCTGACAGTTCAAATCCACCAGCGGCTCCTTGCGAGACAGATGGGAGATCTCCTGTGCAATTCACAGGCTGAAAGGTCAGATATTAATCAGTTCCCACTCAACAGCAATGAGTTATGTGTGAATTAAAGACACTTGAATGTCAGAACATTTGAATGAGTGTTAGATTATATCAAGGAATTACTACTCTTTTGTAGGTAAGATTTGTTTAGGTGAGATAATGGTATTGTTGGTGTTATCTATTTTTTAAAGAATCTTTATCATTTAGATATTCACTGAACATTACAGACAGAATTGTATGTCTGTGTATCAGTCCAGATTCAATGAAAAAACAGAATAGGGTAAGATATTTATTGTGAGGAAGGGATATATGCAATGATGGCAACTAACTGTAATTGTGTGCTATGGAGTAGGAACCAACCCACAGCTGACCCTCCAGCAAGTTTTCAGAGGCAGTGAATCTCATGGGAGGAGATTACTCGTCTTTCTCCCATGAAGCAGCTGGTAGATTCAAACCAAGTGCCTTTGAGTTAGCAGTGCAATTCCTTACCACTAAGCCACCAGCTGGGCAGATTAAAAAAAATGTGTTGGGCCGACCATAAAAAAAAAAAAGAGAGAGAGAGAGAGAGAAAGAAAGAAAAGGCTGTCACAGCCGAGAGGGATGGGAAGAATCACAGGAGAATTGTCTTTTTCAGGGAAACTCAGCTCTGCTAGGAAAACCTTTCAGCTATTTGAATCAGGCCCATCCTGATTATTTAGGATGATTTTTCTTACTTAGACTCAGCTGATGGCCTTTAATCACGTCTATAGGGCACCTTCCCAGCAACACCCAGATCAGTGTGTGTGACTGAACAGAGAACTGTAGCCTAAAGCTGGTACATAAAATTTAATGTCACATTTGGGAGTTGATTCAAAATTCTGTGAGCGGGAAGGTGGAGATGAGGTGAGGCTATGAGATGGGCAGACACGGGTTGGACCATTAGGAGGCAATGAAAACAATCCAAGTGAGACATGCC